GAAATTGCTTTAATCAAAATGCACCAAGAAATTGAATGGCCGGCGGAAATTAGTCAGCTAAAAACTTCAGGAGCAATAAATCATCGAAGCAATATAGCATCATTGCATCCGCAGCTCGACGAATATGGGGTTATGCGAGTAGGAGGAAGACTGGGTTGGTCAGAGCTAACCTATAACGAAAAGCATCCAATACTGATTCAAAAATCACGATTAGCTGCGAATATTATAAGGAGAGCTCATATGGAAACATTGCATGGAGGAAATCGGCTGATGGAAAATGTTTTAAGGCGCAAATATTGGATAATCGGAGCCAAAAATAGAATAAAACTCTGCGTCAGGTGCGAAATCAGTTAATGGGAAATCTACCAAGGAGTAGAGTGAATATAAGTCAACCCTTTCAACATTGCGGAATAGACTACGCGGGTCCGTTTCAAATACGATGTTCGAAAACGAGAGGAACCAAGTCTATGAAGGGTTACGTAGCAGTATTTGTGTGCATGGTGACGAAAGCGGTGCATTTAGAGGCAGTTAGCGAGCTTACGGCAGAAGCATTTTTAGCAGCGCTGAGAAGATTCTTCGCAAGGAGAGGAAAATCAAGCGATTTATATTCCGACAACGGAACGAACTTTGTCGGGGCATCAAGGCAGCTAGATAAAGATTATATAGAGGCGATAAAAAGCAACAATACGTTAGCGCCAATTCTGGAGAATGAACAAATAAAATGGCATTTTATCCCCCCGGCAGCTCCTCACTTCGGAGGAATTTGGGAAGCTGCAGTTAAGTCAATGAAATACCATCTTAAAAGAATCATTGGCGAGATAAAATTAACGTATGAAGAGATAAGCACGGTTCTAGCTCAAATTGAAGCAGTTTTAAACTCAAGGCCGTTGCATGATCTTGGAAGCGGCACAGACTATATCGACACCTTAACGCCAGGGCATTTCATAGTTGGACGCCCGTTATTAGAAGCTCCGGCGAAGATCGATGAAGGAAGTTTAGCATGTGTGAGCAGGTGGAAACTGCTGCTACGAATAAAAAACCACTTTTGGAGAAAGTGGAAAGAAGAATATTTGACTACTTTGCAAAATCGCCCAAAATGGAGAAAAGAAGATCGCAATCTGGAAGTGGGACAGATCGTGCTGATCAGAAATGAAGAGACTCACCCAGCTCGTTGGCCATTGGCGAGAGTGACTGAGGTACAACCGGGCAAAGATGGAATAGTGAGAGTAGTTACGTTGAAAACACAAAATGGAGAAATAAAAAGACCAGTACATAAATTATGTCCATTAGAGCACGAAGATGAGAGACCTGAAGAGGAGAAGGTAGAAGATACGCTGAAAAAGGAGGTCGAAGTGAACTCAACAAAGAAGTTACCAAGATTAACAGCAAATTCCTTTATGATATGGACTATGATGATAAATCTTTGTCTGATTATGACGACTAAGGCCTCATCAGTAAAAGAATTAAATAGTTCGACGGCAATATATCTTGATCCAATCTCTCAAATCCACATGGCCTCGTCTTCATGGAACATGGTTGTATATTTTGAAATGAAAACGTACTTAGAAACACTGGATCTTGCATCCACATTGCTCAACGCCTCTAAAGAAATATGTCCAAGGCTCCAAACATTTGAAGACCAGTGCTGGTCGGTAATAAACAATATGGAATATAAAGTAAACAAAATCAAGGCGAATAATCGGCTTTTCATGAGGGATGATAAACGGCAAAGAAGAGGAGCCCCATTGAAGTTCATAGGGTCTTTTCAACATTGGGCATTTGGTGTGATGGACGACGATGATCGTGTGGCGATGGAAAATAATATGAGAAATCTGTTAGCCAACCAGTACGACTTAAAAGAATTGTCAAAAAAGCAGACATCGATAGTTGATTCCACGGTCAATCTGCTAAAAAGAACAACGGAGGAAGTCAATTCGCACTTTGTGGAGATAAAGTGCAAAATTGATAACATAACCGCCACCATGAACGAAACTTACTTCGTTTATAGAGAATCTATTCGTTTCTTTATTATAACTAAAGAAATCCATGAATACATAGACGAATGTGACGATGTGCTAAAGGAAGTCATTAACCTGTTACTGGACATTAATAATGGTCATATACACCCTGTGCTCATCAGTCCGGAGAAATTGCAGTCGGAAATATTTAAAATTCGAAATGAGCTACCCACGAAATATGTTTTACCCGGAAAATCTTCTGGTACAGAACTTAAGGAGGTTTTACATTTGATGAGGGGACGTGGAATGTACATCGGCACACAATTGGTGATCGACTTGAAGATACCTCTCTTTCAACAGACAGTCGTCGCAGTTCTATAGAGTAATCCCGATTCCATTTGAACATGACGGTGCGGTATTGATAGCAAGGATAAGGTCGCCATACATCGTGTACAATTTTGAATTGGATTCGTTCCACTATCTGACACAAGTCATGTTGAACGAATGTAAAAACACATTGGGAGATGAAATTGTATGCGAAGAAAATTTTCCCTGGCGAGATGCGTCGACCAACAATTGCGAACTGTCACCCCTGAGGCCGCGCATCGAGATAAACTGCACGTACGATGAAGTTGAAAACAGTCCCTATTGGATACAGCTGAGGCAAAAGGGAAATTGGCTTTTTAAGACGTTTAAGAATGCAACGGCTCATATTAAGTGTTCCGAAAAGCAGCAATCCATCATAGAACTTCCACAACAAGGTATTCTAGCCCTTGATACAGATTGCACGGCTAGAATTGACAAAGTGACTCTAGTGGCGGTCCATCAGGTAAGAAATGAAATGTCAACTCAATTTCACTCTATTCTTTTAAAGGACGTCAGTGAAGCCGACAAAGAAGCCATAAAACCCCTTGGAAACGTATTGGTGAAACATCACAATGAGATCAGCCAGCTAAAGACGCTCGTGGACGATTTGAAGAAGCAGAAACTAAATTTAAGAGGTTTAGAATTTCATAATTGGTCTGGTCACATGTCATTTATTTTAGTTACCATAGTAGTTATAATGTTGCTAACTCAGTTTATAAGGAAAATTATAATAAGGAGACGGATAGCAGCAATTCAGTTCCAAGGAAGGCCGAATGTTTAATAAAGTATCTGCCGGCCGGGAGAATGTTCATAAAAATATGAACATGAATCTTTCTTTTATCTTGTCTAGCTTAGAAGAAGTAATAAAATAATTAAGTGTCTTAGATAATAAATTGTAATGTAGATCTGTCATAAATGTTATTGCTTATTTGCTATGAATTTTATGTACTTAAGATAGAATTTTCAATGTTATCAATTTCCAAGAAGTCATTAAATCCATATGTGAGTTTCCCAGCCATTAAATCCATATGTGAGTTTCCCAGCCATTAAATCCATATGTGTAATCTTCATTGATCATGTACACTGGTGCATACGATAAGTTTTATGATAATAAAGGTTGTGACCCACGCACGCACTTATCTATGCACACAGTAGGTAGAGAAGGTCACTGGATTAAGAAGGAAGAGATAAGAATTATTATTAGGTTGCATTAGGCTAAGCTCGAATAACATATGTAGCTCTTAAGGACAATATTTTTTAAATAAAATTAGTACTCAACCAACATCCAAGCCGGCAACATCTTTTATTAATACGCGCGAACGGCGTAATTTTAAGATTTTTTTCTTATGCCCAAAATTAAAACCTCGATAACTTTTGCGCGCATCAACCAAAAATTTGATCGCGAACGGTTTCGGAGTCAGAACATTTTTCTCTATATGTGTACCAAAAATCATTGATGTGCCACAATAACAAAAAAGCTGATTTTTTGAAAATTGAATATTAAAAAATTGGCAATATTGCCCAATAGTATAAGTAATGTTATATGTCTGGACTTGGAAACCGAAGACCCTGGCATTTGAGCAGCAGTTGTCAAATTTTATATAATAGCGTCTGTTTATTGTTGTTTGTTTAATTAAGTTAGATTATGGTATTGTATCGCAAGCAGCAAATACTGCTGTATCGCCATTTTCTATAATTAGTAAGCTCAGCCAACAGCAACTTGGAGCTTTAAATGGAGATCAATGTGGAATCACCGAGGTTATGATTAATCACAAAGTTATTGATTTGCCAGAGCAAGAAATTGGGTTGAGCCGTATACGATTATAATTAGTTTTGGCATCGTTCAAGATGTGGATAATAAGCAGTTTTACTCCATTCTACTTCGGAAGAAATGCAATGCATTTTTTGTAAAGATCAATACAAATTTTCTCGAGGGAATTGTTAGTCTCCTACCGGGCGCGTCCCCAGGTGGCGGATAGGGGGGAGGTGGATGATCATACTAATCTGTTAAAACCAGTGTATGTTGTAGGTAATGGAATAGTTTTATCACCCACCTTCAGGGCTTCTGTCCCCGCGAACCAAAACTTACTATGGAGGCGTTCCTCTAAAACAAAGGATGGAAAAAGTAGAAAAAAGTAATAAAGCTACGGCACAGAGCCTAAAAAACTCAGTACCAGGTGTTGTTGATCTGCCCACGAATCACGCCCCGTCGTCCTCCCGCGATCGTGATCAACAATCTCCTACAGATGTGGGTGCCTTGGCATCTGTATTCGAAGGTATAGCAACATTCACGCAGCCTTCTGGCAACACCAACTTGTTGAGGAACCAATCTCGACCCAGTCTTCAGAGACAGGAGGGAACTCAACTTCGAACTCTGAGTCTGATCATGATAATCAGACGAACATAACCGTCTTGAGGAACCGGAAGAGAGAAGAGGCTGACAAGATGATAGAGGGGGTGAGTAAGGATATCGCCAAACTCACAACCTAGAAGAAGCAGTTGTCTGGGGCACGAAGGCGGAAGTTGGCCAGAATGAATCGGATGAACAAAAAGAGCGAGATGCAAACAGAGGCTCCGGATGAGCAGGCGACTGTCAAATTTGCCAAAAAGAAAAAGAGCTTCCCATCGATCGATAGTAAGAGAAAACTGAGCTCTGCTATGCAGTGACCGACTGTAATAGCGCGTCCGGTAAGCTAAAGAAGGAGACCCATAAGGAAATGTTAAATGCGGTCAACAGCAAAATTAAGGAGTACCTACGACAAGGAGGGGACTCTATTGAACTGGATAGCTGCGCTTTCAAAGGGGACTATCTAATGCTGGAATTTGATACTTCAAAAAGCATAGAAGCCCTGAGAAAGATAGTGGCAAGTATTGGATCCATAGATGGAAGAATGAAACTCAAGCTGGTGAGGAAGAAAGACATTCATCAACTACAAAAGGCTACAGTCTTTGTTGGGGAAGCGATTTCAACACGGAACGCATCCTCGAGGTCTTCAGCCTACAAAACAAGACACTGTATGTAAAGAAATGGGAAGTCTTCCACAGGGAGGGGAAAGAAGAAGGGACTCTTTTTGTGTTAGGCTTGGACAAGTCTTCAATGGCTAAAAAAACATAGAATTCCTAGATTCATAGGGGAATCAAACACAATTGTTTATTTTTAATCTAAACTTAAACTAATTCTAAATTTCTCCGCATTCTAGAGCGCAAAACAGGCCTTAATTGGATTATGTGTATGTCCATCTAATGTTGGACATGTGGTGGTATCATCCACCCCTCTTTTCAACCTAACCTAACACAAATTATACGATTGCCATCGTTTTTTTTTCAGTGTGTCAGACAGGTGTAAACAAATTAGAAAGATTGGTTTTCTTATTTAAATATAAGTCATATAACCAGAGCTAGACAACTTTTTCTGGAGAAAAGTGTTAGGTATGTATTGGGCCCCGGAATCTGATGCATTTATGTTCAATTTCAAATTTTGTAAAATCGACCCTCATACATCTGGACAGAAAATACATATAATCATCATAGATCATTGTTTCTAAAAACCTCTAAAGAACAATGATCGAATTACGAACAAAATCATCCCAATGAAGGGAGCAAGAGAATAGAGCCGCAAGGCATTGTGACGAGTAAATATATTTCGTCATCATAAATGCAAACGGACGTAACTACAGAAGAATTCGAAATTGACATTTTGTTTGGTTATTGTTCATACAAAAATTCAGACATCTAACGTCAAAACAACGATCTAATTAAAGAAATTCAAACGGACTTAACTACAATAATATGTTTTTGTTAATGCAAATAGACATAACAAAAAGTAAAGCTCGCAATATTGAAGATAGAAATTCTGAACTTATATTAATGTTACTTCGGGGATGTTTGATATTGAAAATGAAATATATCGGCCAATTTTTTACGGTAGCCCCCATATAGCGGTACCTAAATTGAAGGCTTTTCTTCAATTTTTTAACTAACCAGCTATAATTAGGTATTTTTGTTTCTCACTGAGTGTGTAAAGTTTTATCTCACCCTGTGTAAAGTTTTATCGCTATCGGTGAAATATTTATTGTCTTTAGTGCAACATATATGTAAGGCCGATTTTCACGAAACTTCACACACATCACTCTAAACTCAATTCAGTGCGCTATGCAAAATTTCGTGCAAATCGAAAGAAATAAATTGGCTTTAATGCACTATTTACACACAATTTGACGAAAGTATGTGTGGGAGCTATGTCTTAATATGAACCGATTTCAACAAAACTTAACACACGTCACTCCGAACTCAATTTGGTACGCTGTAAAAATTTTAGTCTCAATCGGATAATTATTATTCACTTTGTTGTACTACAATTGTGTTGTAGTTACGTTCTTTTGTTTTAGAAAATATCATGTCAAAAGGACGTAACTGACACAAAACCTTTAAAAATCAAAAAAAAAAAAATTTTTTTCAAAAAATAGATACGGCGGTTAAACTATGAAAAAATTTTGAGCAATGCTCCATTTTTATAGATTTTATGACGTGTTTTGCTTTTCCAGTAAAGTGTAGTGACGTCCGTTTGCATTTATGATGACGATTTGATTATTTGTTTTTGGCCAAGGTACATATATTAGGTAGTCGCATCGGCTAATTACTACAAAAAAGGAACTTTTTTGTTAACATATGACAACATTTGTAAATGCATTTCGCCTTGACATTTAAAAATTTAGTCAAATTTGATTCAACCAATCAGAACAAAATGTTTCTATGCCCTAAACCTCTATATTATAAGTATGTGTTGCCTCAAGTGTTTGTAGCTGCACACTATATTGATTCTAGATAGATATATTGTATCTAGAATCGTTCTAGTTATGTGTGTCCGTCCGTATATTATAATTTGTAATCTGATTATCGCGACCCGAGTCAAATGTCGATTGAAAACAATAATCTTCTGAAAAAAAAATTCTGTATCGGCATCTTTCAATAATTTCCATTGTTGAACTCTGGAGATTTTGCATGTAGATTCGGTCCTTGCCTAAGACGACTTCTATTGGTTTCGCTATTGATTGGTATACAGTAAAATTTGAAAAAGTCAAGAAATTTAAAATTTATTTTAAAAAAATTATTTTATTAATGCATTTTAGGCGAATTAAAAATAACAACAATTTGTTTTGACATTCAATGTTACAAACAACTGGGTCGATGGGACATCGAAATCAAGTAGAAATTACCCACTTTGACAGTTAATCAAGATATCAGCTGCGCTAAATGGACTACCTATTCATTGAGCCATGGAATGATCGAAATCCACATCAGAGTTGCCACATGAATAACATTTTGCAAACACATAAAATACTTTCTCTATTCCAATTAAGTTGGCTGCAGAGCCATGACACGTGAAGCAACATCTCGAAGCGAAGCAAAAAGAAAAATCCAATTCAAAGTTAAAAAATAGAATTATAATTTTTTTAAATAAAAATTAATAATTAAAGTGTCTCCGTACATAAAAATACAAATTTCTTCACGTAATTTATTAATATTAAAACACATTTTTATAAAAAAATCAATTTAAAATTGTAAGATTATTTTCTATATCATATATATAATCATATTATTAAAAATATTAATCATATTAATCATATTAAAAAGAGAATTAAAAATAGTTCAGACAGATTTGAGGTAAGTTTATTATTTTTTCTAAAAAAACATGTAATTTATTAATGTAAAAATGTAATTTATTAATATTAAAACACATTTTTATAAAGAAATCAATTTAAAATTGTAAGATTATTTTCTATATCATATATATAATCATATGTTTTTTGCCAAGATATAATTTTAAGATTTATAATAATTATACAATTTTATTTCTTACAAATGAATCTAAATAATTTCTTAAAATTTATCCACATAAAATTGACTCACATGAATAAACATAATTATTTATACCTATATATGGGAAATTACAAAAATGTTTTAAATTCCTTGAAGGGAGTTATAAGCTTGCAATTATAACTCGCGAAATATAACATATTGGATATAATTTAAATTAATTTCTATAAAAAGAAGTTATTGGTAATAAATAATAAGTTGCGTGGAAGCTGTGATGGTGGTAATGTAAAAAAATGGGTGAAAATGTGTTGAAGCCAACAAGTTTTATTGTTCTTTCATGTTTTGTGGCTAAACTACACAACGCCCTCAAATGTGATCAGTGACTAAGTTGAAGAATACCCCATAGGCAATATGCTTCTAATGTATGATTTTTCGATATAATCACTGGATACACGCATGCTGACATTTTGAA